AATTATATGATCATCGACGATCTAGATGTCGACGAACCGAACAGATCTTTCACTTTCTAGACAGCTGTTTTAATCATTAAGCTATTCAGATTGTTCGATTAATTTTTCCTATGAATGACTTATTTATTAGAAACAGAGATGTTCGCTCTCAAATATTTATATATATATATATACATGTATATATTGATAGACAGAAACGTCAACGATAGAAACGCTAGAAAGAATGGAATATAGGTTTGTCGAGAAGAAAGAAAGAATGAAAACAGAAGGTAATAGAAGGAAATAGAAAAAGAACAAGAATGAGAGAGAGAGAGAGAGAGTTAGGGCGGAGATAGCAAGAGATTCCTTTTTCATCTTACCGACGGTAGGGAGAAGAGATCGAGTTCTTCTGTCTCGAAACTTCTTCCTTTCGTTGAGACGAGGTTGTCTCTCTAGGCAATGGTGGTCTTGGTTGAAGGGTATTGGGAGTTAGAGGGTGGGTACTAAGGGATATTGGTTTTCAATTTGCATTCTTCCAATAGCCACCCATGCATCATTCCAAGTTACCAACCACCGAAGCCTGCAGCGATATCCCGCCTTTCGGAGTTTTCTCTTGGACTTCTCATCCCTTCGCATGATTCCAGCGTTGAAAAAGCACCAAGAATAGAACGGTACCCGTTGCTTGCTTGCAAAAACAAAGTCTCTCGACGATGACGAGAAGACTCTCTTTCATGGTAGTAGTGGTTCTGATGCTTCTACTACTGCTGCCGGTTCTACGTCGACTCGGTCGATAAATATTTGATGGTGTCTGAAAGCAAGTTAATCTTGTCTACTGTGGGAAACGAAAGAGAAAAGAGAAGCTGCTTGTCGTTCTCTTTCTTTCTTTTTTTAATTCTTGTTCCTTATCTTCGTTTTACTTTAAAAACCGACAAAGACCAAAGAGCTCAAGAAAGACAGTTCAAATCTTTGGAATCCATAAACTTTGCTTACTTTTGTCGTTCGAATGAAGTTAATAATGAAGTGTTGCTCGATTTTCCTCAAAAGTTTTACGGATCGTAAAACTTTTGTATTTTGTTGTTGGACGATACAGAGTGACTCGTAAGAGAGATGTAACGACTAGGTCAGTAACAATTCAACGAATTTTGTCGAAAGCTCGACATAATGCTAACAAGGAAGAACGAACGACGCGGAAGAGAATATTTCCATTTTCGATTAATTTTACCGTTTTGCTCGTAAAATGGGAATAACTAATTACTGTATAGATCGTTGCTTCGCATCCGTATTTTATACGTTTTATATGTAGAGATATATTTTCTCTCATTACCCATACCTATCTATCATACATACATATATATATATATATATATATATATATATATATATATATATATATATATATACGTACGATTCATTTCGATATCAATTAAGCGTACTCGATAATATCCACTTGTTTTTCGAACATTGCTTTTGCCTATCAACATTTAGAGGCATTCGCGTTTTGACGAAAATTTGTCAACGTGAATTCCATTTATCGAATTCCTGCTTTTTCCATTGAAACGGAAATGAAAATAAACCAAAATCATTTTTGTTTCATATGATAAGCCGAACGAACGTGTAACTCTTAATCGAAGCAGATGGTCTCCTTCCCTCAAGTCGATCGTATTCTCGTAACACGAAAAAGAAAGAAAAAGTTGAAAGAAGGATTCACGTCTGTACAAGACAGAACTGCTAGTCCTTTACTTTCGCTTCTATCTTTTCTTTTCTTTTCTTTTCTTTTCTTTTCTTTTCTTTTCCGAAACGAAGAAGATCCGCTTCTCCATTTCGACATCGAAATGGTCCAACGTCCCAAGAAAAAGAAAGATACGAGTCAATTTGTACGAAACGAAAGCACTCGACTGAAAGACTCTTCGCGTTTGCCATTCTCCCGCGTCAACTATGTCTCGAGCAGTTGTTTTCGATCCTTTTATTCTCAATACCATCGTTTTTCAAATTCTTTAATTTCTATTCGTAATTAAAAACAATACGTTGATACAATTAAAACAATCACAGTCAGAATGGCACATCTTGTAATTTCTTCATGTTCGTAAATGAAATATATTATTTCATTAAATATCAAAGTAGGTCATTTCTATGGTCACTTTTATAATTTTTAAACTAAAATTTGGCGATCATCGTACATCGCACTCGATTCTCCGGTTGTTACGAACGCATACATTCGTATTACGTCTCTTTATCTCTTTTTCTCTTTTCGTCCCGGTGCCGGCTTTTAGCGAAATTACATTCTCCCTTTTATTAATTTTATTCAACGTTTCGGAACTTCGTTTTTATCATCGAGCCATAGAGAGTAAATTCATCCTCGTCCTTGTCCTCATCCTCATCCTCATTCTCATCCTCATCCTCATCGTCGTAACAGTTGATCCTGTTCGCTCGCGCGCATTGGACACATTTTTCATTTCTGTAATTCTCCATTGTGGTAATAAATTCGCCGAGGAGAAACTACTGAGAGCCTAGTTTCTCCCTTCGGATTTTATTCGCTTCGCGAACAGGCTGTTTGCGGTCGTTGGAATTTCGAAGAAAGATAAACGCTTGAAAGTGTGAGCTTACTAACACGCCACATCCCCCTTCACTCCTTGCCCCATTTAAAAATCCTATACGAATCGAATTAAAATAAACGAACAATTTCATATTCCACGGATGAAATTAATTCACAAGGATACGAAATATAATGCGCTTCTTATTAGAATTTCAATGAATCTTCGTAATTTTTTTACGCTCGATTCTTTGCCCGAAGGATAAGATAAACGAATTTTTGATAGAGTAAACATAGGAAGAAAAAAAAAAAAGAAAAAAAAAGAAAAAAGAAACAAGAAAGAGAGAAAATGAAAACGTGATTGCTCGACCTTCTTGATCGAGAAAGCTATAGAAATGAGAAAAGCCAAAAGCAATGGCCGGAGATTGTAAAACTTGACGTATTTGTTTATCCTTCCTTAAAATCCTCCCTCACTTTCCTCTTTTTTTTCTTTTCCCTCCTACTCTCTTTTTCTCTCCCTCTTTCTCTCTCTCTCTCTCTCTCTCTGTCTCTCTCTCTCTCTTTCTCTCTCTTCTTAGCGAGATACTCTTTATAACTCTGCATATTAAAATAACTGGCTCAAACTTTCCAAGAAAGTCGAAGTTCTCCGTATTTCCGTGGCTCCAATTTCGCGACGTCCAAGTTTTGTGACTCTTCGCTTTTCCATTTTACCGTTCTTCGTCTTTCGTCTTAGACTATCCTTTCTCCTCTTGTCTTTCATTGTTCGTTTTCTACCTTTATCTCTATATCCATCTTTCTCTCGCTCTCTCTCTCTCTCTCTCTCTCTCTCTCTTTTTCTTTTTCCTTTTCTTCTTTCATAGAAATCGTTCAAGACAAAGCTTTAGTCAAAGACGAAAGAGAAGGAAGATGTTGAAATGTAAAAAGACATCGAATCTTATCCACGGTACTCAGAACTTTGAGTTACTTTAAGTTACACGACGATGTAAATTTGACGTTATTTTCGTACACGACCAATTCAAATACTTTCTTTCTTTCTCTCTCTCCCTCTCTCTCTCTCTCTCTCTCTCTCTGAATTTTTTTTAGTAAGAATTCTACGTAAAATAAAATTATTTTATCCCTCCTCCCGACTTTCAAATCAAATATTTTAAAAGGGATTATGTCCGATATTGACTAGTTTTTATATCATCATGGAAAAGAAAAAAGCGAATACACGTTGAATTAGAAAGAATTCTTTATTTATGTACTTAATGATAAAACGAGACACGTTCCACGATAGTTTCACCTTTACAGATTTTAATTCATTCCAATGAAACTCTCCAGAAGAAAATGAAGTCATCCTCGATGAAATGTTTCACGTAGAAGCGAAAGGAAATTTGAATTTTCCACGTTTGATATTGCGACGATAGTAAAAAACCCTTTCTCAAGGTTTTCGCTGTTTTATTTCAACCGAGTCATCGGGACATCAAATCGATGCAGGTGAATATAAATGAATGTCAAGGTAAAGAAGACGAAAGGATGGAGAGGAAGGAAGAAAAGAATATTAAAAAAAAAGAAAAAAAAAGAAAAAAAGAAAGATAAAGGGAGATAGAGAGAAGCCATTATAATTATCCGTGATGAAAGAATCGGATTTAATCGGAAAAAGGTTCACCGTGAGCGCGATTTTTAATTTTAACCAGGAAGGTTCTCGGTGACTTGCGAAAAATCCTTTGTGCTCGTGAAAAGAGGGGGGAAAAAAGAAGAAAGGGAAGGGTTCTAGTCGTTTGCGATAAATTTGGTTACCTTCGAGGGAGAACGAATTTATTCGTTCAACGTTCGAACCTGGGACGATCGTGGATTTTTTTCTTTCTTTTTTGTTTGTTTTCTTTTTCTTTTTTTAATTGTAAAACTGGCAATGACTTATCGATCTTATTTTTTGAACGTACGATAAAAAGAACGTTACATCATCTAGAACTTCAATTCTATTTCGAAAGTTTATACGAACGAAACAGATTGTAAGAGTCGATGAGATTTTCGTGAATTCTATTTACTCTCTCTCTCTCTCTCTCTCCCCTCTCTCTCTCTCTCTCTCTCTCCCCTCCCCTCTCTCTCTCTCTCTCTCTTTCCTTTTTTCTTTTTTTTTATTATTAAAAAACGAAGAATCGTATAGTTTGCTCCGAGAAAATCAATAGAGACATGATTACGATTTGATCTGATTCAATTCGATTCGATCAATTGTATGTAACATATTTTCGGTATTCCGAGTAAATATAATCTTTCGTCTACAACTACATCATCCATCGGTTAAAATTGAATTATATAGTAAATAGATAGTGGATTGGATTTACTCTTGGTCTTTTAAACGTACGTAGTAATGTTTTTATTGAATACATATATACATATATATATATATATAATAGATATAATATATATAATAGAGCAAAATGAAAATTCATTTTGTTAAAAACCCAAAATATTATGATAAATTTGTGTATATAAAGGCACTTTGGTTCTCGATTACAAATAGAATCGATTTTTTATTCGAATGAGGTTCATTTATTATTTCAGGATTTGAGCATTTAAATATCGCGGAAATTGAGATAAAGTTTGAAACGATTGGAAGGACGGCATCGATGAAAACTAATTGCATCGGTGATTTAAAGTTTGCTTTAAATATACCATCGAAGAATTGTTTTCCAGTTTTTCTTGTGAGAAAAAAAAGGCCAATCGAGGAAGGAAAAGTCATAGTGAAATGAGGTCCCGAGATCCGATTCGAATCAGTTTGATTCAATCACGCGAACTTGCAGAACGGGTTTTGGTAAGCCAGGATTTAGTCGGTCGATTGTCTTTCGCTTGAATGCAGCAGTGGTACCCCTCCTTCTTCCGGTTGGTCGAGGATACGAAGCGAGCTTGGTTTTGCTATTCGAATTCACGTCTTTGTTCCTTGCCGAACGACGATGGCGACTGCCGTCGTCCTTGTCCAGGATGATCGAGAATCCGTACGACAATGGTTCGGCTGACGCGACCGATCCGTTTCCCTGTAAATTTAATGTTAACAACCATATAGCTAACATGCCTGATAGAAGACTAGACTTTTGAAACTTTTCCTATCCGTTGGGTGAAACCCGTTTCGCAAACTTGATAGAAATTTTTGCGCGCGTATCAGAATAGTCGAAAAAGTTTTGAAAACTCTTAATGTTTGTTAAACGATTATTTGATAAGTGACGATTAAGTCACATATTTATAAAAGGGATTTTGCAATATTTATGACGTTGACGTTAAGAAATATATAACTGTCAAATTGAAAGGTTTGTTTTACACATGAGACATTAACGTTTATATTCTTCTCTCTTTCATAATTTAATTTCTCACTTTGTTTTGGTAGAAGAAAAATGAGTAAAAAAGTTTCTCCTTCTGAATTGACTTTGAGAGAAAGTGTCGACCCAAAGATTTTTGTTTATTTTTATCGTATAAATAAGAATATTTATAAAAGTTATATGACTCTTGTGAAGAACGGTCAAAATAACACAGTATATTGAGATCTCGAGAGTATAAGCACGACGATGATCTAATGTAAGTTCTTCCTTTTAATATTTCTTATACGTTTATTTATAAATATAAAATTAAATTCTTTTTCCATCTAGCTATAATTATGTTACCATATAATATAATTATATAAATAAGATAATTAACGAGTTAATTCGTTTAATTAGATTAATCTCAGATATGCAATTATAATCGTTCTAATAGAGTTGAAAATTTTTGTCAACATAATGGAAGGAGACGATCTCGCGATTTATTCTTCAAGAAATTTTTCCGATAGGATCCCACGCAGAACGGAAAGAAGTTTTGATTACATCGGAGAGTAAGGAAGTGAAAGTTTCGAGAACGGAAAAGGTCGATTCTCGGCAAGTAGAGATTAAAAGCGGACTTAAGAATATGTACTTAATGCCAGATGATAATAGCCAAAAGTATAAAAGAGTCGAGCTGGGAATTTCTACGGTTAGCGCTACGCAATTAAAACGGGATAATAGATCCAACGGAGAAACGCGTTCATTTTCAAGTACCTACCAACCTCTTTCTCTCTATTTCTCCCTCCTTTTCTCTCTTTCTTTCTCTCTCTCTCTCTCTCTCCCTCTCTCTCTCTTTTCCTTTTTTCATTATTCTCTTCCTGTTCCTTCTTCTTGCTTGAAGTCAAAGCCATTTCGTCGAAGTTTCACAAACGTGACCGCGAGTCTAGAACTTATTTCCACAAACTATTCGGTTCTTACGTGCCGATTTCGAGAAATAAGCTCTTATCTTTCGGTTTAGAGAACAACTCCTTTTCCATCTCCTCACGCCCGTCCAACCACTCGCCCCTCCTCCCTCCCTTTCCCCACCCACGAAATCTTTATCTTTAAGTCGAACTTTTATCTCTCATCGTTATTCTTTTTTCGTTAAATTAAATTTCTCGTTTGGTTTGATTTAACGTTTGGAATTTATTTAAGACGACAGTAAATATATAATAATAATAAAAAATGAATAATTATCATGAACATTATGAACTCATTTTCAAAGTTTCAACTTGTTCACTATTTCACGAAGAATTTCTCATTAAATGGCGAGGTTCAATAGTGTATATATAAACCGTTTTACTACGATGAAAATAAGCACGGCGTATCCATAATGGTTATATCTATCTAGGAATCTCGAATAAAAGCTTCGAAGTGGAAACAGCAAAGCCTCCGACTCAAGCATGAGAGATCAAAGAGATGTCGAGGATTCGATTCGTTGTACATTTTACTAGCACTCAACGTGGAATTGTATATGTACTGACCGTGAACAAATAGGAAAATGAAAAATTAAATCTGATAACTACGTTGGTAGAGAAAAAAAGAAAACGCAAAATCTGGCTACGCCTGTTATCTAACGTAATTTGTCCGCTCTTTGTTCGCCGTATGTGGCGCAGAATTTAGGATGAAACATGGTAAAGTCCAAGGACTTTTTTTTCTCTCCCCCCATCCTCCCCCCCCCCCCCCCCCCCCCCCCCTCCGCCCTCTCACAAAGATAAAAAAGAAAGAAGAGAAAAAAAAAGAAAAAAAAGAAAAAAAAAGAAAAAAAAAGAAAGAACAAATAATATCTCTTGGTTCGAAAAATTTTCGAAGAATTTTTTTTTTTTTTCTTTTTTTTTTTCTTTCATGGATCGCTCGATAAAGAAATAAAGAGATATGACATATCATAGTCGTAGGAACATTACGAAAAGTTTACATTACGCAATAGCGTTCATTGAAAGAAATGATGGTTGTATAGGAAGCATAGGTAAACGATAAAGTTTCTCTCGTTTGATCAATATTCGCAGTTTCCTCGCGAGTTTTTCGGCTGTTTAGCCGACACGTTGTCGAGAAAATTGCTCGCACGATCGATGCAATCTCCGAAATTCACGATAATAACGTCGTTCCACGAGAAAGCAATGACTTCCTCTCTCTCTCTCCCTCCCTCTCTCTCTCTCTCTCTCTCTCTCTCTCTCTCTCTCTCCCTCCCGCTCTCTCTCGCTCTCTCTTTTTTCCCCTACAGTGTTTACGAAGAAAGCTCATTTCTCATATCCTACCGTTCAAGTTGTTTCTCCTATACCTACATACACAGGACATTTTCTGCGTAGGATTTTCTCTACGTATGTACATGTTTACATACAAAGATATATGAATATCTATAGCTTGATGCATAAGAAAAGGCAATGTTAGAGAAATGAGGAAAGAAAGATAGAGATAGAGATACAGAGAAGGAGAGAGAGAGAGAGGGAGAGAGGGAAGGATGGATAGACCCGTCGAACGTAATACTGCGGTAGTGTTATCGCGAGACTCCTCTTACCGAAGAGAGAAGGTCCTTGCCACGTTGTCGTCGTGTCGTTCTTCCCCATGGAGAGACGATATTTAACTTATGAATATTTGCCGACGTACGATATGAGGTTTGCGCTTTTCAACCTCTAAGTACGACGACGTCCGGAAGGATGCAGGCGGACTGCAAGGAGGAGAGTTAAGATGAGTAGGAAGAAGAGAAGAAGGAGTAGGAGTAAGAGGAGGAGGAGAAGAAGGAGAAGATGCTTACGTCCGCTGTAAAGTAGAAATATGTCTGCTACTACGTAAGCACACCTTCCTCCTGAACGTTATAAGTTTATACTCCTTTCGTGACTACCTTTTCTAATATTATATCTGCCTCGTCTTTCTTTCTCTTTCTCGTAATCTTTCTCCTTTTATAAAAAATCTTTCTTACTAACTCATATTCATACACATACATACACACACACACACACACACACTCACACACATACATACATACATATACACATATAAAAAGAAAGTACACGTTTAAAGTATTTGTAAATATATGCATTTTTGTGTACACACGTTCTATCATATAAATCCATTTATAAATGTTTACATAAAATTTTCTTTTATATTAATTGAATACCAAGCGATCTTTATTAAGAGAACGAGCATTGTCTCGATAAAAAAAAAACAAGCTGGCTCGCTGTAGTTTTTAAATTATTCTTACAATATAATCAGATTCTAAAGCGGCCTTCCTGGAGTACAAAACAGAAAGAGAAAGAGAGAGAAAGAGAGAGAGAGAGAAGAAAGAGAAGCGGAGAAAAGGGATATTCGGAAAATTACTTCGACGATTATCACGGACCGGTCCTTTGAACGTTGTCGCGGTGTTCGTCATAATCCTTTCAACCGAAAACTTTCTCGCAACAGCCCCGACCCTTCTCCACCCTCCGGAAAGATCTTTCTCTACATTCTCTCATCCCTTCGCTCTCAGTATGCTCCCTTACACTTCTCTTCCTACTTCTTTTCGACGACGACGACGACGACGACGACGACGTCGCTACGAGGAGAAGCTCTTTAATGGAGCTTTTCTCTTCTCTGTCCTTGCACCCTTCCACGTTCACCATTCACCTTTAAATTTCTCTCCTTGCTGACTCGTGGCTTAACGGTTCCTTCTTTTATTTTTGTCGCTTTAAATGCGCGACGAGAAACCCACTAGTACGACGACCAACCCCTTTTCGTTAGCCATAGACATAGCCATGCTTTTTTTATCTTTTCCTTTTTCTTCCTTGAAACATTTCCTTTCAAAAGCGAACCTTTACACCGGACACAATGTACTACGTAAGATAAGAGAGAATTTATAGCGACCATGCCTATCGGCCAGGAACCGCGAGTTTCTTCCCTTTTTATTCTCCTCTCCTCTGAATATTTGCACTGAAATTTTTTTCTTCTTTGGTCATCTGTATCAATTAGGTTTATTTGATAAATTACCTTGTACATTTTGAACTCTTTTAATAAATATCTCTTGGAGTTATTCAGTCATATTGTATTTTCAAAGTATTCTTGTATGAACGTCAATGATAGAAAAGAAATTACAAGTTCCGTCATTTTTCATTAACGAGATGTAATTGAATCGATTCTATGGAAGCGATATTTTCATTACTCATGATTTTTGAATTGGTGAAAAATGCGGAAAGATTTCTCTTCGCTACGCTTTAACTTTGTTAATACGTATTATACTCGGATCTATATTGGAACTACGTTGGTATGTGAAAGCCGAGAATATAAGTGAATTTACGATAACCATAATTCCGTATAAACTACGAGAGAGATTTCGTGCACCAGATAAGGTGTGGTTATAATTGAATAACCATCGCTATTGCTTTTAAGGTGTACGAGACGAATTGTGGGGGACAGTATGGCACTTTTGCGACTTAAGAAAGTCGGTTGTCCCATTCTCTCGTTTTGTTTCCTCTCCTAGCTTTGAATTAGAATGTCTCTAATTAAAGCCCAATTCGGGGAGCTCAACGAACCACCGGCTTTGTGGTTACCACTTTCCTCGTTTCTGTCGAGTCCTTTTAATTCTCGTCCGACTCACTTTTCCTGGCCAAGCTCCACGCCAGAAACTATGGCTTCACGGTATAATTTGTCAGCGCGCTCGTTTTTTACCATTCCCACTCGTTGCCCCGTCCTAATCCCTTTGTTAAGTGCCCGACTCGAGCTTCTCCGCGTACCTA